CATCATTGGCAATGTTCTTCATCTTTGATTAAAATTCGTTTTCAATTAAAATCAGTAACTCAGCCCAATGGAACTTGTGAAAAATTTCACCAGTTTTGGTCTGGAAGAAATATTTATGTTTTAATAGTAAAATGAATCAAGGTCATTCTTCATTGATTGGACCTTTAATTACCTTCAATAGAAAATGAACTTGACCCCACACGAGAAAAATCCAAGATTCTATTACCAAAAAAAGTTATGCCTTTAACTAAAAAGGATAAAAAAAGTGAAAAAATTGATAGACATAACCTTTCATGTTAATTTAATACTTGTACTCATAAATGTGATCGGAAACAAACAGAATCGAATTTCTAGTCTTAATTTTTCAGTCTAAGGTAATTACCTTATACTGAGAAGAAGAAAAGAAAGAGAAAATTTGGTTGATCGAAAAGACATAATAAGACTTACATTATATTATTACATTATAATAATAACAAGAAGAGCAAGAGACTGACTTTTTGCGATAGTCTTAAGAAGCTCCTTCATCTTCATCTTATTCTTCACCAATAAACTGTTACCTTCTTCTTAAGCCTTATTAAGCTGAGCCACGTTATCAAAGTGTTTCAGGGTAACACGGACTCTCTTTTTTTCTTCTCATCATTCTCCCTCCTTATTTCTCTTCTTTGCAAACATATGAATCGATTTTTTAATATCGGACAAGAAATGAGTTCTATTGATCTTTTCTTGACTCTTTTTAAGTTTTTTCTCTATTCATGAGAATATGAACTTTTACTAATACTTATCTTATCTTTGAATCAACACGAAATTTTAGCAAATTACCCTGAACGTTCAGGTAATATATTAATAAATTTCAACGATTAATTAATTCGAGATCAAAATGGCTAAGAATTCTGGAAAAATTCAAATATTTTCCAGACTAACGTGAATTATTGATGGACTGAGTTTGATAATTGAACAATAGAATTGAAAAACAATTACAATTTTAATCAAATTGTTGATAAAAAGCGATAAAAGGAATCAGGATGAGGGTTTATCAATATTTTTTGTTATCATATTTACTTTTTCCAGTTTATTATCAGTCGAATGTTTTTATGTTTTCTCAGAATATAATTTGAAATATTTGCCAACCATGGGAAAAGGTACACATGGAAGCTCATGAGAAAGTTCAGGAGTAATAAGAAAGAGTGAGATGTTGATAAGAAAAAAAGATAAGAACAGATGAAAGTAATTTCCTTTCTTTACTTTTGTTTATTCATCTATCAAGCAGCAAATTCGTCAGTTCCAAAACTTATCGTATGTTTTTTCCTTTTATGTCTGATGACCAACGGTCATCATTTTCTGTTTCAATAAACTTCCGGAGCTTTCGCAAGGACATTAAATATACATCCAAATTCTATTACATCAGCCCATTGTTACCGAGGGAACATCCGACTAACACGCGCTTATCACTTATGGCGAAGGTATTTACACGCTGGACAATAGTCGAAAAGAGAGAGAGAGACTATTCGAATGGTCAAGAGGGATTACTCCTTACTTCCTTTTATGTTCTAGTATAATCATTTGACCTAAACATCAACAAATGAAGAACCTTAGACCGTTAAAGTCTAATCGAAGGTCAATAAACTGTTCTTGTCTCATTTTTGTTTCTTCGATTGTTAGCTAATTACTGATTACTATTTAGCTCATTAAGAATTAAGAAGTACAAATTAATTGGGATTAATTAAAATGAAAGATCGTTGAAAACATGAATGGAAATTCATGTTTTTTGTTTACTTTGTTGGTTCATTGGCAGAACAATTGTTATTTAAATGTATAATTAAATGGCTGATTAAATGTTTAACCAGAGTTACCTGAATAAAGTTTAATTTGGGTCCTTAAAATTCATTTGATTGTTAATTAACAGTCGACAATTTGGGCACTGTTTATCATCTAGTTGAAAACCGGATAAATTGGATAACAATATAATTTCAATTGTATATTTACTAAAATGATCACAAATGATAATTTGTGTATTCAGCTTAACACTTTACCTGTATGTTCATTATTTAAATTAATTAAATAATTACCATTAGTATAAGTTCATTCAATTAATAATCAGTAAATAACGATAATGATCATCAAGATACTGATAAAAGGACGAAACCTTGAAAATATTACAATAAACGCGTCAGTCGTTTATTCAGCTGATTAGCAACAAGAGATGATTTCGATTAGCTACTTAATTATTATACAATTAAGAGCTGATCGACTCTTCACCTTAAATCAACAAGAATAATTAACAAGTTTAATTGCTGACTGAAATTAAATGAGTTCAATCATTGAAATAAAAACTGATTCCTTAATTTCAACCATACTAACTGAAAATTAACAAGTCAACAATTAAAAAAGTTGATCGTCTTAAAATTGATTCTTTTACTGACATGATATCGAAAATTGTGATCATGGATTTAATTGACTGTTGATTATAAAGTAAAATGGAAGAAATTAATCGAAATACTCTGAAAATGAGTATTCGAAATGATATTTCCTCTGAATAGAATTCATGTCACTTTAACCATGGGAACATATCGACATTTTGCACTTGCTTTTTCTCTTCCTTTTCTCTTCTTTATCTTTTCGAACAAATTTTCCCATGGAATCGAAATGTTGCGAGAAAATGTTCATCATTTGGAATCCATATCAAGTGTCGATTTTATACTTTCCCTGGTTCTTATCATTTTCATCTCTTACTTTATCTTCACCATCTTATTGGGCACAAAACGACGATGATGATAAAATGTAAATAAATTATAATAAAAACTGTTTCTCATTATTCATCGACTGAATTTTGTTTAGTTTTGTTCATATTTGTTTAGCTGTTTCAATGTTCATGGTTAATTCAGTTAATATCCTATTTTTTGTTCACTTTACTCCCCAGTTAGAAACATGAGTGTAAACAATAGCTATACACTCGTGGTTTCACACTCAGGGTTATAATTATATTCATTAACCTTTCGTTTTCGATAGATATTACAACTAACGAAACTAATATCGACTCAATCAATAAACTTTACTGCTGGTCAATAGCTAAACAATTGGTTGAAAACAATGAACTTTACCCATTCCCGAATAATGTCACCAACTCGATGGCATTGAGGGCAGAACCGATACAGATCGAAGCAGAAATTGTTTGTTCATTCAAATGTCATCAACAGACAGCATTTAAAAAATATGTTTCATCAACAGATCTCAGGTTTTTGTTATTGACATAAAACCAATTAATGTGTTTGGATAACAGTTTTTTTCTTGTTACCGATTGATGAACATATTTTCATTCACTCAAAGTGAATTCATTGTAATTTCATTGCATAAGAAATTGAAAAGAAACAAAGTCTCTGTGGCGATTGTTTTATATCGATTAAAATAGATAATGAAAGTTTCCGTTCTAATGATGTTTGGTAATTTACATAATTTTTGCTCGGTTGATTTACCAGCGAATGAGAAATTATGGTCAACTGTGTGCTCGCTTCTACGATTGTGACAGTTATTAGAACTGTTCAAGTTCGAATTTAATTGAAATGAGGAGTTGAAAGAGCCATGTGGTGGAAGAGGATTATAGGGTGGGTGGTGGTATAAACAGAAGGAGGAGAGATGATGATCAAGAACGGAAAGACTGATGGTCCATTGAAATCGCTTGTAACCCGCATCACTTCATCTTCTTTTTATTAATTCTCCTTCTCACCTTTATCCTTGGACAGTTTATCTTCACTTTTTCTATTGTTGTCATTTTCTAGCCTCGAACTTCAATACACCAAAAGTCCCAATTCTTTAATCAAACTACTTCAATTTCCTCTCTAATCAACTAATTGTTTTATCAACTGTTTTTAATCAATTAAATACAACATAAATGTAGTTATTTACATAGCCAGTTTATCCAAATGATTAACTTTCAATGAAGATTGGGATGAGTCATCATATCGATGAAATTGTTCGAAATGCGACATTATTGATTCTTACAGTTTTCGGATGATTGTCAATCCAAGCAAAGATTATTTTCGCATCAGTATGATCTAATTAAACGAATATGGTACAAAACAATAAGCAAATTGATGTGAACAATTGATGAAAACATGATCAGTAATCATCACCATCACATAACCAATAGTAATGAAATGAGTGAAACTGATAATCTGGTTAAGGTGCATTTGATTAAAATGAAATGCTGACGATCAATTATATTATTAATACAATTATCCAAATGCTAGATAATAAAATGTGTCTTTCATGTATGAACATTCATCATGGTCTAAAAAGCAAAACTATGGTGAATCTTTATCAATCATTTAATCTAAGACAATGAATTTAATATAATTCATCAATTTGATTCTTATTAATGATCATGATTAAGTCTTTAACTCTCACATTTGCAATAATTTAATTTCAATATTTCAACATTATTGATGAATCGATTGATATTAAAACTTTGTTGTTCATTATGATGGTTCCTTAGTCTTTTGTTTTAACCATATGATTTGGTATTCGTTTAATAAATAATGATAATAAAATTTATCAGCTGCCCAATGACAAAACAAATGAACCAACAACGATAAACATTTTCCTTTTTTAACACATCAACAATGAGACAGTTTGTGCAAATTGTTTCCCTCTCTTTCTGCCAACTGTACATTTTCATCTCTCTCTCTCTCTCTCTCTCTCTCTCTCTCTTCATTATCGTCATCATTTGCAGCATCTTTGTACAACTCCTTTTATTGGGAATCTCTATCTCTTTATCTGTTGTGTCTCCTTGTCTACATCTTCCGTCGATTCCTTTATATCATATTCCCCTTCTCTCTCTCTCTCTCTCTTCTCCTTCTCATTCTGTCATCATCCTCCATCGTTGTGAGTACTGTTTGTGTTTACAGCATCTGCTTTCCAGGTGAGTTTCCTTTCCATTTTCATCCTCATCATCTTTTACCAACACAAAAACACGCAGAATCGAATTGATATCTAGTTTAAGTTAACTCACTGGGATCAGTTTATCAGTTATCATTTAGCTCTCAGAGTTGTCACATCATCGAAATTATCTATGTTAATTTATTAATTCAGATAAAATAACATCACCATCAAACCTTTGATTATAAATACTTGTTAATTTTGTGGAAGTTTTTCAGTTCAATTAAGTTTTCATAGTGATCAAAATATTATGTTATCCAGTCAACAACCAGGTAAAAGGATGAAACGAAACTATGGTGATGACATTTCAAGAGATATGGAAGAAGAATGGAAAAATATTTATACGGTAATTATTTTCTTATTGTTATTTGTGTTGCTCAGATACCCGATCTATCGACAGAGAGAAAAACTTTTCACGAATGAATCACTCGAACTGAAATATCAAAACTACAAAAACAAGACTTTATATTGTGTGCGTGGTATTAACACCTAATTGGAAAATTGAGAGGGAGCTCATGATTGGAAACCAATCGTATTAGATTTAATGGTAAAAACTACAGTCAATTTTAGTGAGAAAAATTTCGTTTTTTTTACTTATTTCACGAGAAAATCATTATAGAAAAAAGAACTATTGATAATACATTAGTACTTAATTGTCGTATCCAGTCCATTCCAACCCTTTGCTGAATAACGAATTTCGAGGTCATTCAGCGACCAGAATCAGGTTCATACCCTACACATCTCGAGAACAGGGGATATGATACAATAGACATAATTGGCTTTTATAAATAGCATAATTGGTAATTGGTTTTTGTTCTGAGACAAAATGTTGAATTTATTCACAAAATTGATAAAAACGGTCCATTATTTGATTTTCTTCATCACCGAGAAAAACTCGTTGTAATTCCCTATGCTGATGATTGGACCAGAGTTTTTCAATTGATTATTTAAAGATGTTTCAATTATTAAACTTGCCAAGTTCACTAATGTCTAAAGTTTAATAGTTGTGATAAATGTTAATTGATTTGCTTGTAATAACCAGGGTTTCATTGCCAACTGATAATTTAATTTTTGATTGAACTTTAATTAAAATCGACTCTTTTGTTTGAATAAAGCGAAAGATTATTTGCAAATGACATTTAAATTGCTATTCGATCCTGCTGAGTTTATCTCATCAACAACAAGATGATGAAAACTTGCAAATTCGCAAAAGTGTCAACATCATATTGCATCATGTCAATCTAATAGTAATTTAAATTAATTGATTAACTTGAACAGTTTTCAATCAGTTGCTAATTTTTAATTGTGAGTATTACACATTCGATTTTTATTTCCTTCTTTCTTCATGAAATTCAATCAAATAGATGATACTCATGAAATGGTGGAAAAGATGAAAATGTATTGACAATTTACCTGAGGAACTGAACAATCAACTGATTCTGACAGCTAACTCTTAATTTCAAGTTCCAATTGTAGATGAAACGAGAGAGACATTTCTTCAAGGGGTTTTCCTTATCCTGTCATGATCAGAATCATTCATATCAACAACATCAATACCATTCTCACAGAATAAAGTTGTCAACATTTTCCTTAAAAAGAGAAAAATAAAGATGAGAATCAATATTTCATTGAAAATCAGTTTTACTTTTTTCTTGTTTATTTGTTTGTTTTATTGTCTTATTGTTGTTGTTATCTGGTATTGAAGTTCCAACATGAGTTTTTGTGTTATTTTCGACAAGAATAATCATGTTCATCGATATCAACAGAACAAAAATCTCTTTCATTTTCTTTTGCAATCGAGAAAAAAGTATAACAATTGTAACTATCGATTCTCATCAATCAATCCAAAAGAATCATAAAGATTATCAGTTTTATCATCATCTTAGTCGTGTTTTTGGTCAACTTTAATCCTATTTGATCGAAATATTATTCGGAATCAAAACTAGACCATAGTCTATAATTGGAGTAAATTATTTGAAAAACCATCGAGAATGCTTAGATAATTATTACAACTTTTAGTAATTGTAAAGCAGGTAAATTTTGTATTCACAAGATTGTCTCTGGATTAAATTAACTGTTTCTGGACAGTTTCAAATTCATGCAAAATGGTTTTGTTGTGTTTCATATCATATTAGTGTTTATAAGAATCAGTTTCATCTGTTAACTAACTGTTAAAAGCGAGTGGTCTGGATAATAATAACTATGATAATCATATTTTCAATAACCATTGGTCTTTATCATGTTATTCAGATTAGATACAGATAAGTGTTTATTGTCAATTTAAACTCCATGAAAACATCATTGGCAATGTTCTTCATCTTTGATTAAAATTCGTTTTCAATTAAAATCAGTAACTCAGCCCAATGGAACTTGTGAAAAATTTCACCAGTTTTGGTCTGGAAGAAATATTTATGTTTTAATAGTAAAATGAAATAACAATTTATAGACTAATCAGAGTCAGGCAGAGTGTCATGTTTTTCTGATCCGTCCTATTAACTTATTGGTTGTAAGCGCGAAAGGACTAATGAATCACTAATCTGTTTATGCATCTTTTTCTCTCAATCGTTTAGATGCTTAATTGTATCATGGGAATGGTAGAGAAGACAAAACGAGCCTTGGCTATCCTACAACATAGAAGTGTTGAATATGCATCAATCAATTCTCCCCCTTTGTGGACTCCTCCAGGAACGGCTTTGAGGAATCGGCTTAGTGCTGCACCTCCTCCATTGGATCCATCTTCTCATAATGGATTAGATGTTCACGAATTCAGGATATCTAGAGAGCCATTGTTAACTACAATTCATTTTGCAAAATCTCAAAATCATCCATCTGAGGTCGACAGAGCCATGGCTTCGGCTGCAGCCGCTGCAGCAGATTCAGCAAGACGAACTAGATTGGGGAGTAATAATAACCATTTCGGTGGGTGTAACTCAGTTTCGTATCTGACTGATTAGATTAATGATCATCTCAATTTATCTCTGAACAGAGGTTGTCAATGATGCTAAAAGAGCGGCAGTAGTTGAACTCCATAAAGCGATGAGTGCGGCGGAAAGTAAAGCAAGTGAAATCGTCGCTGCTGAACGAGCCAAAATGGAAAGAATGTTGAACGAAGCTCGACGCCAAGCTACCGAAGATGCGATCACTGCTATGAATCATCAGGAAGATTCTGACGAAGTAAGAACAATTGGTCGACATTCTCCAACAAAGAAAACTGGTTCTATCAAATTTTTCGACGCAGAACGAACTGAACATTAAGATTTATACCTCAATTCTATGGTTGCTAAGTAAATAGGAAGAAACTAAAATACAAAATGGTTCAATTCTTTGAAATTGACTTATGTTTTTATCATATTAATTTCCGTAGTTTGAAAGTTTTTGTTGATCAAGTACGTAGACCGGTTATCGGAAGTTCAATCAATAATAAAATTACTCGGAGTTAGAAAAAAGATTTGTTGTAATTACTTAAACACAATCACGTAGAAACCTGATCGTCGTTTAGTATATTGACTATTCTGATTGTTATCATTAATCTTTGTTTTGTTTCCTTATTTTTAGCATTGTTGGAATTGCGGGAGAAAAGCGAGTGAAACTTGTAGCGGTTGTAATGTTGCTAGATATTGTGGTTCCTTTTGCCAGCACAAAGATTGGGAAAATCACCATAAAGTTTGTGGATCATCAAATCATCGTGAATCAGGATCAGTAATAAATGGACACCATGTAAATGTGACAAGTTCGCGTAATGAAGCAAATTGTTCACCATCAGCGTCACTACCCACCACGACGATGGATCTTAAGAAACCCAAAGAATTAGCTAATAGCCTGAATGGTTCAGTCTCGAATGGGTCAAGTCCGATTGGGAATGGAGGGTCAACTGTAAATGGCGATGTTAGTGAATTATCGGAATAATTTATTTTGATTCGAGGAAACGACCGTTTATCAACATAAAAACCAACGATAAAACGTGATAACTCTCGATGACAGTGAACACACTCACTGTCACTCAATTTTTTCAACCATGATGATTTATTGATGAACCAGTTCCTTGAATGCAAAACTAGTCAAATTATAAATAATAGTCAAAACGACGAGAGCAGATGAATTGAATACATTCTAAATCTTCATTTTATCGAGAAAATTATTTTTATCTTTAAATTCCGCTCATCGTCGTAACCACCAATGTTTTATAATCTTTCACTAAACAATGGAATCAGTTAAATTATTATCACCACCGAATTCATAATCTGCAACATGGATTCATCTTTTTCACTTGAAGCATTTTACTCAAAAGTTTTTCTGTTGAAATCACTCAATTCATGATTTAGATGCAAACTCGACTCATCTTTTCACGATTTAATTTGAAAAGATAACCAAATCATCTTATATGTTAATCTAACACAAATTCTCTAACTGCAAACAGAATGGCCACTCTGCTACTGATTGTGCGATCTCAATATTCTAATCTCAACTCCCTTCTTTCCTACTATTTCCTAGAATTTCTTCCTATTTCTTTTATAATTGTTTCTCTAATTCTCTTCCGCTATGTTAAATTTGTTCTATTAATATTAATAAGATTGTATAAAGAATTGATTGTAAAACAAAAAGATTGTATTACAATTAATCAAGTGCAAAGTGTAATAATTAACCGAAAACTAAAACAATGAGATGAATATTGACCAATCATCTCACCTCATCTAAGCTAAGACCGAACAGAGATAATGTAACTTGAGGCTAGTCACCTGATACTTCATTTGAAATTATTGCTACAAGATATTAATAGTAAATGAAACAATTATCTAAATAAAATATGTAATAGATTACCAATTTTACACGATATTAACAATTCTTTTAATGGAAAGTACCTTTCCAATGAGCCTTTTTAGAAAAGCGAGGTGATTTTACATGAGCTTTCTAGAGATTGTAATTTCAGAGCGGGTATTTAAGGTGATAGCATGTCAGTGTTGACTTTGACTTGGTGACAGTGTGGGTGTTGACACTGACACTGACGGTGACATGTATCACTGACTCGTGACCGTCAGTTTGACACGTCATCGTCAGTGTCATGATTCGTAGCATTTCATATTTGAAGAGATTGTACAGTGTTGGGAGAGGTGAGAAAGGATTTACAAATTGTCTGGGATGTACAATATTGGCGTGATTAATTTTTTGACTGAAATATATGTAATGTAAAATCAACTTTTGGAAAGAGAAACCAAAGGATAAGAAATCCTCTTTCTCATCTCTTTCTTTCTTTTCTTTTTCTCTTTCATTTTCTCTTACTTTTCTCTTTCTTTTTGATTTAATTTCTCTCTCTCAACCTACAATTAATTAACTAATTGTTGTCAAACATTTATTGTTATTGTTGCTGTTGATCAACCACAACAACAACTGGTTAACAAATATTAATTTTTATTAATCAACATCAATTGTTGATGATGATGATTTGATTGTTATTGACAATCGACAACAACAACAAGTCAGTTGGTCATTAGCTAATGATGGTGACGGTTGATGTTGATCAAATTAATTTGTTTTAATTTGTAATTAATAAAGATTAAATTGTTTGTTTAAATTTAGTTAATTAATTGATTCCTTTTCAGCTTCGATTGGGTATTATTTCCAAGGAAGTGATTAATTGGAATTCATGTTTTTGTGTTAAATTCTGATTGGAAATATTCAGTGAAATTTCTGGCCGAAGATCTTCGCTTTATATATACTATAGCCCCTTCCGATTGCCCTGAAATTTAAGCTACCATTAACCGTCATTTAAGGACCAGTTTAGCTTTTCAATGTTATAAAAGGACAATTGACGGTTTAACAATTAATTGCCACTTTGAAGTACAAAAGCTACATCATTTAACAAAACAAAAATTTGGAAAAAAAGCTTACAAATGACCGAAATAAAAGTTTTCACTTTGTTAAAACAAAAATTCAAACTAAATAAGTGTAATTTACAAACAATTTAAAAACCTTTTGAAATATTAGTTATAATATGTAATGTTTCAATCAGCTAATTCAGTTGACCAAAAAAACTTTACGTTTGAAAACTTGTCTTTACAATTAGACAAATAGAAAGAAGATTTTTCTTTAGCAATTTTCTCTTACTTTTCTCTGTCTTTTTCTCTTTCTATTTATACAAAATTTATCATCTTTATCTTCTTTCTTACCTTTATCCCAACAGTTTCAAATCTTTACAACAGTCGAGCAAAGGGTACTAATGATAATATTATTAGTCTTTTCGTTGTCTCTTTCTCTTTGTCTCTTTCTTTCTTATCCTCTCTCTTTCTCTTTACCTCTTCTCATCCTTTGGTACTTAACCAAAACCCTTAACCATTGAAAACTATTAACAATTTGGATCTCAATTGAGATAGTTAATCAACTTAATTTTGTTCAACAAATAAGTTTCAATCAATCTGGTTCATGTAATTCAGTTAATCATTTGTTTTAGTTAAATTACTAATCATTTGTGTCTAATTAATAATATTAATAATAATAAAAATCTTAATTTCTTTTGGGTGAAAAAATTTACTGGTGAAAACCTTACAAGTCGACAGGATAAATTGCCTCGTCTTTACTCTCACTCACTTTTGCAACTCAATGTTCCTCATCAATGTATCTTGTTTAATTACAACTCTATTGTTTCAATTCCTTATTATTTTCATCATAATCAATTCAAAAAATCAAAATGTTCAATGATGGTGATAATTTTCAGCCTTCAGCTAATATTAATAATAATAGTGAAGTTGTTCATCCTCCACGACCACCAACTCCACCTGAACATCAACAACAATCAAATCACTTCCGCCCAAGACTACATATTTTTAATGGACATGATAAGTCGGTAACTATTGTAAATTGGTTGAAATTATATGAATCAACTGCTAATCGTTATAATTGGTCATATGATGAAAGAATTGATCTTCTTGCGGAGTATTTAGACAAAGATGCTTTAAATACTTACATTTCTGCTCGTGATTCTGGTGATTGGATCACAATTAAAAATAAACTAATTACTCGTTTTGGTCTCAGGTGTTGCTCGTATTAATTTAACCATTGGTTTAATTACCAAATCAATTATCGTTTATGTTACTAAATTGGATGTTGATTTACTATTGGGTTTAGATAACATTTACAAATTCAAATTAAATTGTCCCTCAAATTATCAAATTTTTCAACAATTAACTGAGGAAAATGAACAATCAGTAGTTCAATTGATTGATCCTCAAATCAATTTACCTTTAAATTTCCACATTGATATTGAATCTAAATTGAATTCAATCAATAATAATAATAATTTAATCAAACTATTAACAAAATTTGAAAGTGTTTTTAGTGATAACAAATTTAACGTTGGTGTTCTTTCTGAAGCACAATGTATCATTGAATTAGATTCTAAAATTCCAATTAACAGTAAACCTTACCGAACTTCACCAGTTGTATAAAAAGTTAACCTCTGGCACAGTTTTATACAGGGTGTACCAAAGTGAAGAAAATCATCCTACTGTGTGATCTGAATATGGGCTGCCCTTTAAGGCACCCTGTATTAATTATTAATTACTAATTAGTAGTTATTAGGATTATCGGGATATACAGAGAAACTTTGAATTCGGTGAAATAACAATCTGATTGTGAGCTAAATAAATACAGCTAAAGACTTTGAGTTTGCATAAATTTTTAATCATTTGAAACGGTCATATTATCATTTAAAGATAAATTCAAAACAAAGATAAAATTATATGTATCGATATTGGAAAAAGTTAGATATCAAAGTTAATCTTCAATTGATTACCATAACCTGCGCGAATGATTAAAAATTTATGCAAACTCAAAGTCTTTGGCTGTATATTAAGGATTAGTGAATTTCCTAAATCTAATTTAACTAACTGTTGCTCATCACTAGAGATATAAGGACGACCCCGAAGGTCATCACAAATATCTCTCGCACTCGCATAAGGAATAAGGAAATTAACTTACCACTTCAAAGGTTGATCATAAACTGAGACCTCAATATGACTTACAATAATTATTTTGTATGTAGACAGAGAAAACAGACAGAGAAAAAATTGCACAATATTAACTAGTGCGAAATGTTTATTGCGAAATAATTATTGTATCATTTGCATGTGTGTGCATTCAGTCACGTAGGCCATCTTTCTATCCACTTTCTTTTTCTTCTTTCTCTGTCTACTTTCTCTGTCTATATTGCAGTCACGTGTCAAAACAAAGCGGATTTCTCTCAGTTTGTCTCCAGCTTTTGTCTTGGTAAGTTCATTTCAATGGTAGAATTCGAGTCCAAGAGATGTTTGTGATAACCTTCGGGGTTGTCCTTACATCTCTAGTGATGAGCAAAGTGTGCCAAATATTGAGTGCTACTTAATTCATTTATGTGCTTAGTTTCTAACCATTTTCTTTTCTTTTTTGTTTTTTTTTATCGATTCAGATTTTCATTGTATTTTTAAACCATTTGTTTCAAATTCCACCATCTTATCGATAGAAAATTTTTTTATTTTACAATAAATTTCATATCGTAAGTGAATCTTTCTTTTTCCATGAAAGTCCAAGAGATGATTGTGATGGCCTTCAGGAATGTCCATACATCTTAAGAGATGACCTGATAAATATATTAATCAACTGGTCGGAATTTCTGTTTATCAATCGATTGATTTTTTTCTAATTTGTTTCATTAGGTGTGCAACTGTTTCTCTGTATTTTTCATTTTCAATTTCTATTGTCAACAACAATTATGGATAGCCAGGTAAGTTTCTTATAAGATAGATTTTTGGGTTTATGTTCATAATGGATGAATTTTTCTTTACAGCGGTACCCTGAGGGCTTAACTGAAAATCAGAAAGCCAAAATACGGGCTAAAGAAAGGGCCCAAAAAATGTAGGATATGCCTAGGGAGGACATATATAAACAGATCTGGCTTATGCAAAAAGGGCAGAAAAATTTTGCAGCCCCTGATAAAATTGAACAAAACTTGATAGGCATGTACCAACGGGTATTGGTAACACCTAAAGGAGAAAAAAAGAGATGGAAAAAAACATTGCGCAAGCCGAAAAAAAACTTGCTGCCAAACGAAAAAATATAAAAACCTATTTGCAGACGTTGGTAATAAAAAGCCAAAACTTAATGATGAAGAGAAGAAAGATGATAAATAATAATAATAAACATATAAATAATTATGATAATGATGATAATGATAATAATAATAATAATTATAATAATGATTAAAAGAAAGAAAAATGATGACAATAAAATCTTGAAAAGATTATGAATAACAAAAAAATAAATTAAATATATTTCCATTCGTCCATTATGAACATTCAAACTCATAAATTCATTGACTCAAAATATTTGAATTTGCCGGTAAATAACCTCAAAATTTTTCTTTGTTTTTTTTCTCTAGAGTTCTGATGATGAAACTGTCCTGATGGACTCAGGCGATGATACAGTAATCATGCACTCTCAAGACTCATCATCTTCATCGTCTACCGAAGCATCATCCTCGTCTTCTGCTAAATCATCTGAAACTGAGATTCTTTCATTCTCCTCGACTGAATCGTCCGACGGTGATGAGGATGCTACAATGACATCATCACGAACATACAAATGCCCAAGGTGTTCGCATAAACCATACAAAAGTATGGAATGTATAAATTACATTTGAAAACCTGCGGAGCACCTCCACCTGTGAAAAATGTCAGATTCTTCACAGTAATCGATAAGTTCAATCTTATTTCCATATTAATGGGTAATCGATTCATTATATATCGTGCTAATAATCTTCAGATTTACGATATAAGTGGGGTTCATGATGAA